CAAAGAAAGATCACAAGAATGGAACAACCTCGGCATTGCCTAATGATTTTAATTAATGAATAATTCATCAATTAACAAAGATGAGTTGACATTGGAGATGATGATGATGATTAGGAAAACATCCTCCACCAAAAGGGGGGTGGAGGCCTGGTCGAGGACCGGGCCGCGGGGACACTAAAGCCCCGAAATCATCTCAAGATAATCTCAAGAAAAGTCCTAAGCCCACTAGGGTATCGAGTGGCTTTTGTGGCCGATTATGGTGAAAAGTCATCACTGTGTCATCACTGTTCTGCACAACAGTGCACCCGTTGCATAAAAGCTAAAATTAACAGTTGTCAGCATTTCAAAAGCTCAGACTTTTTCCTGATTCCTGGAAGAGGAATCATTTGTGAAAAAAAAGTATGTATACTCTTGTTGAAATCATTTTTTTTAATTTAATTTATTATGCACCCCATACCCATCCCGTGGGCGGTGGAGGAGAGAGTTACAGAGGACTAAGCCCCATAGTGATTAAGGTTAGTTACCGGGTCCAAGATACACACAGAAATCACAATAGCGTGATGGATCAAATGAACAAATCCACAAGGGCCATGATTAGGGTTCGAACCTACGTTCTAGGTTCGAAACATCAAGATGTTTCCATTAACCCGTCCTCTTAACTATTGCACCTCGTTTTCTATGTTATGATCCCCAAACGTACAAAATAAAGGGTACTATGAAAAGTAAAAAAACTCACAAATAACCACGTTTTCTATGAAAAGGTTGGTTAAGTTAAGTGGGTGGTATGGGTTTGTGCGTTTTAGTAACTTTTATTGTATAAGTTGTGATAAATTAAGAGAACCTTTTGTGCACCTTTTTCCTTAGAAACATCTTGTACTTAAAGAGTCAGCACTTGCAAAATGGCCACTTGTAAAATGGGCCACTTGTAAAATGGGCCACTTGTAAAATGGCCACTTGGAAAATGGCCACTTGGAAAATGGCCACTTGGAAAATGGGCCACTTGTAAAATGGGCCACTTGTAAAATGGCCACTTGGAAAATGGCCACTTGGAAAATGGGCCACTTAGAAAATGGGCCACTTGGAAAATGGGCCATTTGGAAAATGGGCCACTTGGAAAATGGGCCACTTGGAAAATGGGCCACTTGGAAAATGGGCCACTTGGAAAATGGGCCACTTGGAAAAGGAGCCACTTGGAAAATCAATGTTTACAAACTGAGAGAGATTTATAGAAGTCTTTTCAGTATTATCGGGCTTATTAAGGAGCTGCCGTGATTGGTTATCAATCGCTGGGGCGGAGCCAATTGGGCACCTTTGGAGAGAATCTTGAGTAGTGTCAAGAGCGCTTGTTACAACTCGACTGTTGGGCTGTAACGAGATATGCACCTACGCTTGTAACACTATCAGTTCCATGAACTAAACACAGTTTCAAATGTAGATATGATAGAGCGAAAATAGTTTCAGGAACCTGTACATCAGTTGATTGATGGTTGAAAGGCGGGACCAAAGAGCCAGAGCTCAACCCCCTACAAGGACAACAGGAGTTTTAACGGTACATAACCAACAGGATATAAACAACATAACCAACAGGGTATAAACAAACCAAAGGGTGCAGAGACGGATCAGCTGGAGACCTTGGCTAGACATGAAGGATATATCACACCATCCACAATTAACATTCAAGCCAAAGGTTGGCAGGATTTAAAACACTAACGACTGTTAGTTCCTGTCGTGTTGTGCTGCTTGTTCCAGGTAAGGATTCTTTTATACCCAGGTGAGTATATCCTGTGGGTTCGATTCCCGGCGCCGGCAGAAACAAAAATGGACAGTTTCTTTCACCCTGATGTTTCTGTTAGCTAGAAGTTAATAGGTACCGGGGAGTTAGACAGCTACTACGGGCTGCTTCCTGGTGTGTGTGGGGGGGGGGGAAGTTAGTTAGCTGGTAGTCAGTAACAGTTGAATGATTGCCAGTTGAGAGGCGGGCCGAAAGAGCAGAGCTCAACCTCCGCAAGCACAACTAGATGAGTACAACTAGGTAAATACACACACACACACACACACACACACACACACACACACACACACACACACACACACACACACACACACAGCTGCTACGGGCTGCTTCCTGGGGATGTACTCAACTAGTTGTGCTTCCGGGGGGGTTGAGCTTTGGCTCTTTGGTCCCGCCTCTCAACTGTCAATCAACTGGTGTACAGATTCTTGAGTCTACTGGGCTCTATCATATCTACATTTAAAACTGTGTATGGAGTCAGCCTCCACCACATCACTGTGTGTGTGTATCGTGCGCGGGTGTTAGAGAAACATATGTAAATATAATAAAGAAATATATGTAAATATATGATATATGTTAGAGAAATATATATAGATATAACAGAAGAAAATAGATTGGTTAGAAAGACGGTCCAAGAGATAATAGCTTGATTCTGTTAACACAAATAGTAAAAACATACATAAATACATATATATATACACACACACGCTGTGGGAAAAATCTAGAAAGTGTACAGTTAGAAATTTAAAAAAAAAGTACGATTTAAATTAATTCCAGACGAAATTTGGTCACGAAATTCCGAATACACCAATTGAAAACACGATGCTCGATTGTCACTGACAAAATGAATATAGAATTGTGTCTGACTGAGAGATGTTTCAATTAGAAGTTAAGGCAATGATGCCCTGTAGGGTAGGGTAGGTAAGAGGACTCAGCAATGATACCCTACAGGGTAGGGTAGGTAAGAGGACTTAGCAATGATGCCCTGCAGGGTAGGGTAGGTAAGAGGACTCAGCAATGATACCCTACAGGGTAGGGTAGGTAAGAGGACTTAGCAATGATGCCCTGCAGGGTAGGATAGGTAAGAGGACTCAGCAATGATACCCTACAGGGTAGGGTAGGTAAGAGGACTTAGCAATGATGCCCTGCAGGGTAGGGTAGGTAAGAGGACTCAGCAATGATACCCTACAGGGTAGGGTAGGTAAGAGGACTCACCAATGATGCCCTGCAGGGTAGGGTAGGTAAGAGGACTCACCAATGATGCCCTGCAGGGTAGGGTAGGTAAGAGGACTCAGCAATGATGCCCTGCAGGGTAGGGTAGGTAAGAGGACTCACCACTGATGCCCTGCAGGGTAGGGTAGGTTGATGCCCTGCAGGGTAGGGTAGGTTGATGCCCTGCAGGGTAGGGTAGGTTGATGCCCTGCTGGGTAGGGTAGGTTGATGCCCTGCAGGGTAGGGTAGGTAAGAGGACTCACCTATAAGTTTGGACCATTGTGCAGGTGGCCTCCACTCCGGGTAGTGCTTGGGGAAGTCTCTGGGACTCCAGTGGCTCTCCATGGCCACCCTGTACACCGTCAGTTCCTCGGGCGGGCAGGTTGTAGGGCTGAGGGCGGTGACGGAGCCTTCAGCCATCACTACAGCCACACAAACAATCACCCAAGCTGACCCCATTGTCTCAAATCACTTGCTAACTTGATCTACTGGAGTCCCCTCCTCTCATCCATAAGACAGTTTACCGCTCTAAATGAAAAAAAACAGCCACTTTCTGAACGTTTTTGGCACAAATGCAATTCGCAAATAAACTCATATGACTATTATCTTGTTGAGTGGTTTATTCAATATTGAGCGCGTTGCGTTGCTTGGACGCGTGCATGGGGGGGGGCGGCGCTTGGCGACGCAGGCAGGAGCAGGAGCAGCGACGCACTCCCTACCGCAGCCCGCTACACACTGACGTTCCTGCTCGCTCTCCTGGGGCCATACCCTCCGCTGGGCCCTTACCCTCCCCTCCACCCCCTCCCTACATCCCCCTCCCTACATCCCCCTCCCCTACAACACCTTACCTTGAGATGATTTCGGGGCTTAGCGTCACCCGAGGCCCGGTCCTCCACCAGGCTTCCTTTTTTGTTACACATCCACCCAGAAAGCAGCCCGTAGCAGCTGTCTAACTCCCAGGTATATCGATTTACTGCTAGGTGAACAGGAGCATCATGGTGAAAGAAACTTACCGTTCGTGTATCTCGCTCCTTGTGTCCTAGCCCCGTCCTTGTCTCTCACTCCTAGCCGACTCGTTTCAAAATATTAAACTCAAATTACAAAGGCGCCTCTATCACGATTACGTGCTGAAGGAGGCTGTTGCAGGCGAGGTGGAGAAGAGACTTGCAAGCCTCCTGGAAGACGGGTGAGGGAGGACTCTCTGAAGACTCCAGCAAGACTCCTGCAAGACGGGTGAGAGGGGACTCTCTGAAGACTCCAGCAAGACTCCTGCGAGACGGGTGAGAGGGGACTCTCTGAAGACTCCTACAAGACTCCTGCGAGACGGGTGAGAGGGGACTCTCTGAAGACTCCTACAAGACTCCTGCGAGACGGGTGAGAGGGGACTCTCTGAAGACTCCTACAAGACTCCTGCGAGACGGGTGAGAGGGGACTCTCTGAAGACTCCTACAAGACTCCTGCGAGACGGGTGAGAGGGGACTCTCTGAAGACTCCTGCAAGACTCCTGGAAGACGGGTGAGAGGGGACTCTCTGAAGACTCCAGCAAGACTCCTGCAAGACGGGTGAGAGGAGACTCTCTGAAGACTCCTGCAAGACTCCTGCAAGACGGGGCACTCTTTGAAGGACAAGTGCAGACGTAAGTGTGTGTTTCCTGAAGCTGTAAGAGAGAGTGAAGTACGAGGTTGTTGTTTGTTGTTTAAGATTCAGCTATTGGGAACAAAAAGTTGCAGGTAGCACGGGCTATGGTGAGCCCGTAGTGGACTTACCTGGCACAGGAGCGGGGCTGTAACTTGATGTACGAGGCTTTGCTTCTGTTTATATACATGGCTTGGACACTTGCTGGGGTCGGCTACTTATTCCACCAGCTAGGCTGTCCTAACTGTTCCGTTCCGCCCTCGAGGGGCCCCCATGCTCGGCCCTCAGGGGCCCCCCAACCCCATGCTCGGCCCTCAAGGGACCCCAGACCCATGCTCGGCCCTCAAGGGCCCCCAGACCCATGCTCGGCTCTCAAGGGCCCCCAGCCCCATGCTCGGCTCTCAAGGGCCCCCAGACCCATGCTCGGCCCTCAAGGGTCCCCAGACCCATGCTCGGCCCTCAAGGGTCCCCAGACCCATGCTCGGCCCTCAAGGGTCCCCAGACCCATGCTCGGCCATCAAGGGCCCCCAGACCCATGCTCGGCCCTCAAGGGCCCCCAGACCCATGCTCGGCTCTCAAGGGCCCCCAGCCCCATGCTCGGCCCTCAGGGGCCCCCAGCCCCATGCTGGGCCCTCAAGGGCCACCAGACCCATGCTCGGCCCTCAGGGTCCAGATTTTCTCGAGATGTTGAAAATATGTTACTGTCCAAAATTCGTAATGTGTCTCGTATCTCTGTGATGAGAATTTTCCTTTCTGTGGTCCAAGGCTTTCAGACTCCCCCCCCCCCCTTCCCCCAGGACTTGTACCCAGACTTGTACTCTGCCTCGCCGCTGCCACGCTAAATCAAACCTTAACAAACTGCTTGTTTAAACCGTCGTTATAAAGCATCCTCTGTGTCTCCGTTTGCTTAATTCCATCTTCATTCCTCTTTGTTCTACCTCTCCGTCCCTCTCTCTCTCTCTCTCTCTCTCTCTCTCTCTCTCTCTCTCTCTCTCTCTCTCTCTCTCTCTCAGCAGTTCCGACATGGTTCTGCACTTTTCTAAACCTCGACTCGGCCCATGTGTTAGGTTTTCCTTCCCCACTCAAACCAGGAGCTCTTATAGTCGAGAGTCGCACTCCACACAAAGGAGAAACACACCAAGATGTTCATACCACACACTGCTTCTTCCTCCCCCTACACACACACACACACACACACACACACACACACACACACACACACACACACACACTTTGGTCAATAGCATGGAATACAGGAAATAGCATGGTTAACATTAATCAAATCCAGTTACTTAGGTATGGCAAGAATGAAGACCTTAAACAAAATACAGGGTACGAACAAAATAGAATCTGCCCGTAGTAGGAAAGCAACATGTAAAGGATCAAGAAGTGCGTGCCCAACCGGCACTTCTAAATTACATTCATAACCATTAACAGGAGACAAACTCCGCTGTAGTGGATATGTGGGCCTTCGGACCGTTCCAAGCAACAGCCTGTTGGACCAAGCTGTCAAGTCAAGCCTGGCCCCGGGCCGGGCCTTGGGGAATATAAGAACTCCCAGAACCCCATCCAGGTTCTGGGAGTCATCCGCCACCAAGATAATATTATTAAAACACGACTAAAACAGAAGCGAAAAAGAAACAGGGAAAAAGGAGGAAACCCCACCTCCATTTAAAACTTTGACCCAAATATCAGAGTAACAAGGTTATCGCGAATAACTGAACTCAATTACGGGCTCACCATAGCCCGTGCTACATGGACATTTCGTTCTGAGTAGCTAAATCGAAAACAACAACACCCATCCAGGTACAATCCAAGTATGGTCTCCCGGGCCCCAGAATATGGGGGGGGGGGAACTAAGACAGTCATGGGCCCCAGTCCCCCAGAATATGGGGGGCCCCAGTCCCCCGGAATATGGGGGGCCCCAGTCCCCCGGAATATGGGGGGCCCCAGTCCACCAGAATATGGGGGGCCCCAGTCCCCTGGAATATGGGGGGGCCCCAGTCCCCTGGAATATGGGGGGCCCCAGTCCCCCGGAATATGGGGGGCCCCAGTCCCCTGGAATATGGGGGGCCCCAGTCCCCCAGAATATGGGGGGTACCAAGAATCTCTGGGTCCTGGCACTGGACGACAATGCCTCCCTCGACAACTTTCATCTCCGCTCTCTCAAAAACTTCCCGGGATGCTTTTTCATGGCGTCCGGCCGGTTTATTTTCGTAATACCACAAGGAAAGACACTTTGAGTCGACGGTGTTTATCTTGGCGTGAATGTATGCTTAATATATGTTATATATTGCGGGGCTCCGGCGCTCACACTCACGGCTTGAGTACCCCCTTTCTTGAGCCTCAAGCACGTGGCGGCTTGAGCACTCCCACTTGTGGAGAGTCTCAAGGTTAGAAAAGACTTAGTAATAGTGGGGAATGCACTGAGCACTGAGCTCCTTGTGCTTAAAGGAACTTTACGACATGACGTAAGGTACCCAGGGTGTGTGTGTGTGTGTGTGTGTGTGTGTGTGTGTGTGTGTGTGTGTGTGTGTGTGTGTGTGTGTGTGTGTGTGTGTGTGTGTGTGAGTGTGTGTGCGTGTGCGTGTGCGTGTGCGTGTACTCACCTATTTGTACTCACCTATTTGTGCTTGCAGGATCGAGCATTGACTCTTGGATCCCGCCTTTCCAGCTATCGGTTGTTTACAGTAATGACTCCTGTCCCATTTCCCTATCATACCTAGTTTTAAAAGTATGAATAGTATTTGCTTCCACAACCTGTTCCTTAAGTGCATTCCATTTTTCCACTACTCTCACGCTAAAAGAAAACTTCCTAACATCTCTGTGACTCATCTGAGTTTCAAGCTTCCATCCATGTCCTCTCGTTCTGTTACTATTCCGTGTGAACATTTCATCTATTTCCACTTTGTCAATTCCTCTGAGTATTTTATATGTCCCTATCATATCTCCTCTCTCCCTTCTTTTCTCTAGTGTCGTAAGGTTCAATTCCTGCAGACGCTCTTCATATCCCATCCCTCGTAACTCTGGGACAAGCCTCGTCGCAAACCTCTGGACCTTCTCCAGTTTCTTTATGTGTGTGTGTGTGTGTGTAATTACCTAAGTGTAATTACCTAAGTGTAGTTACAGGATGAGAGCTACGCTCGTGGTGTCCCGTCTTCCCAGCACTCTTTGTCATATAACGCTTTGAAATTACTGACGGTCTTGGCCTCCACCACCTTCTCCCCTAACTTGTTCCAACCGTCTACCACTCTATTTGCGAAGGTGAATTTTCTTACATTTCTTCGGCATCTGTGTTTAGCTAGTTTAAATCTATGACCTAAAAGATGTGTGTGTGTGTTTCTGTGTGTGTGTGTGTGTGTGTGTGTGTGTGTGTGTGTGTGTGTGTGTGTGTGTGTGTGTGTGTGTGTCTATGTACTCACCTAGTTGTACTCACCTAGTTGTGTCTGCAGGATCGAGCATTGACTCTTGGATCCCGCCTTTCGAGCATCGGTTGTTTACAGCAATGACTCCTGTCCTATTTCCCTATCATACCTGGTTTTAAAATTATGAATAGTATTTGCTTCCACAACCTGTTCCTGAAGTGCATTCCATTTCCCCACTACTCTCACGCTAAAAGAAAACTTCCTAACATCTCTGTGACTCATCTGAGTTTCAAGCTTCCATCCATGTCCTCTCGTTCTGTTACTATTCCGTGTGAACATTTCGTCTATGTCCACTCTGTCAATTCCTCTGAGTATCTTATACGTTCCTATCATGTCCCCCTCTCCCTTCTTCTTTCTAGTGTCGTAAGGCACAGTTCCCTCAGGCGCTCTTCATACCCCATCCCTCGTAGCTCTGGGACGAGTCTCGTTGCAAACCTCTGAACCTTTTCCAGTTTCATTATATGCTTCTTCAGATGGAGACTCCATGATGAGGCGGCATACTCTAAGACTGGCCTTACGTAGGCAGTGTAAAGCGCCCTAAATGCCTCCTTACTTAGGTTTCTGAATGATGTTCTAACTTTTGCCAGTGTAGAGTACGCTGCTGTCGTTATCCTATTAATAGGTGCCTCATATGTGTGTGTGTGTGTGTCTGTGTGTGCGTGTGCGTGTGCGTGTGCGTGTGTGTGTGTGTGTGTGTGTGTGTATGTGTGTGTGTATGTGTGTGTGGTGTGTGTGTGTGTGTGTGTGTGTGTGTGTGTGTGTGTGTGTGTGTGTGTGTGTCTGTGTGTGTACTCACCTAATTGTGCTTGCGGGGGTTGAGCTCTGGCTCTTTGGTCCCGCCTCTCAACCGTCAATCAACTGGTGTACAGATTCCTGAGCCTATTGGGCTCTATCATATCTACATTTGAAACTGTGTATGGAGTCAGCCTCCACCACATCACTTCCTAATGCATTCCATTTACTAACTACTCTGACACTGAAAAAGTTCTTTCTAACGTCTCTGTGGCTCATTTGGGTACTCAGCTTCCACCTGTGTCCCCTTGTTCGCGTCCCACCAGTGTTGAATAGTTCATCCTTGTTTACCCGGTCGATTCCCCTGAGGATTTTGTAGGTTGTGATCATGTCCCCCCTTACTCTTCTGTCTTCCAGCGTCGTGAGGTGCATTTCCCGCAGCCTTTCCTCATAACTCATGCCTCTTAGTTCTGGGACTAGTCTAGTAGCATACCTTTGGACTTTTTCCAGCTTCGTCTTGTGCTTGACAAGGTACGGGCTCCATGCTGGGGCCGCATACTCCAGGATTGGTCTTACATATGTGGTGTACAAGATTCTGAATGATTCCTTACACAGGTTCCTGAACGCCGTTCTGATGTTAGCCAGCCTCGCATATGCCGCAGACGTTATTCTCTTTATGTGGGCTTCAGGAGACAGGTTTGGTGTGATATCAACTCCTAGATCTTTCTCTCTGTCTGTTTCATTAAGTACTTCATCTCCTATTCTGTATCCTGTGCCTGGCCTCCTGTTTCCACTGCCTAGTTTCATTACTTTGCATTTACTCGGGTTGAACTTCAACAGCCATTTGTTGGACCATTCACTCAGTCTATCCAGGTCATCTTGTAGCCTCCTACTATCATCCTCTGTTTCAATCCTCCTCATAATTTTTGCATCGTCGGCAAACATTGAGAGGAACGAATCTATACCCTCTGGGAGATCATTTACATATACCAGAAACAGTATAGGTCCAAGGACTGACCCCTGCGGGACTCCACTTGTGACGTCTCGCCAATCTGAGGCCTCACCCCTCACATAGACTCGTTGTCTCCTGTTGCTTAGGTATTCCTCTATCCACCGGAGTACCTTCCCTCTCACTCCAGCCTGCATCTCCAACTTTCGCACTAGCCTCTTGTGTGGTACTGTATCAAAGGCTTTCTGACAATCCAAAAATATGCAGTCTGCCCACCCTTCTCTTTCTTGCCTTATTTTTGTTGCCTGGTCGTAGAATTCAAGTAACCCTGTGAGGCAGGACCTGCCATCCCTGAACCCATGTTGATGCTGTGTTACAAAGTTCCTTCGCTCCAGATGCTCCACTAGTTTTTTTCGCACAATCTTCTCCATCAGCTTGCATGGTATGCAGGTTAGGGACACTGGCCTGTAGTTCAGTGCCTCCTGTCTATCCCCTTTCTTGTATATCGGGACTACGTTAGCTGCTTTCCAAATATCTGGCAGTTCCCCTGTTGCCAGTGATTTGTTATACACTATGGAGAGTGGT